CCCACCACCCCCACCAGCCCTTTCCCCTTTAATTGGCCTCCCGCCTGAGTTTCTACTCCTAACACTATCTGAGCTCTAGTTATTTTCTTAAGTCAAATAAAATGCCTGGTCAATAAGAGCGTCTCCTTCTGTCACATAATTTCCTATCAGACGTTAACTTATTTTGGCTGTCTCGCAGAAAAACTTCAAATCTCTCATATCTGCTTCTTTCCTTGTTCTACAAAGTCCCAAGACACAAAGAGTTAATGTCATGTTAAAACTTGATGCCTGAAGGGGGTATAGAAAAATCACATATCAGGTACAATGTGCACAGGTAGGGGTGATGGGTAACACTTAAAGCCCAGATAAAAAACTACTTGTATCACCTAAAGCTACTGAAATAAAGAAAAAAAAAAACTGGGTGAAGGGTTAAACTAAAACAAACAAACAAAAAACCTTGACATCAATGCCAGAAAAAGATAGAGTAAGAATATAAAATATCTGCTTTTGTTATGTAAAACCAAGTTTTCCTAAATACCAAATATGGTGGCTCTAGACTAAATAAATAAATAGACCAATAGATAAATAGATACATTTTTCAGTCAGAATCTTACTCTGTTGCCCAGGCTGGAATACAGTGACACAATCATGGCTACCACTGCCTCGACCTGGGCTCAGGTGATCCTTCCAGCTCAGCCTTGCAAGTAGCTGGAACCACATGTGTATGCCACCATGCCTGGCTAATTTTTGATTTATTATAGAGACGAGGTCTCGCCATGTTGCCCGGGATGATCTTGAACCCCTGGGCTTAGGCAACCTCTTGCCTCTGCCTCCCAAAGTGCTGGGATTACAGGCTTGAGCCATTGTGCCCAGTCAGCACTTTTAATTCCAGTAGAAGTTTTTAATTTTGATGAAGTCTAATTTATTTATTTTCTTTTATGAATAATGTTTTTTGGTGTTATGTTTAAGAATTCTTTGCCTAACCAACATAAAAATGTTTTTCCTGTTTTGTGGTGCAAAAGGCACTGCTAAGAGAATGAAAAGACAAACCAGAAACTAAGAGAAAATATTCTGGAGAGGTTTTATAGTTTGATGATCCATTTATTTATTTACTTTTTATTTTTTGAGTCAGGGTCTCACTCTGTCATTCAGGCTGAAGAGCAGTGGCTCAATCACGGTTCACAGCAGCCTAAACCTCCTGGGCTCAGGTGGTCCTCCTGTCCAGCCTACCAAGTAGCTGGGATTACAGGCACATGCCAACAAGCCTGGCTACTTTTTAAATTTTTTGTAGAGATGAGGTCTCCCTATGTTGCCTAGGCTGGTCTTGAATTCCTGGCTCCAAGAGATCTTCCTGTCTCACTCCCAAAGTGCTGGGATTACGGGCATAAGCCACCACACCCAGCTAATTTTTATTTATTTATTTATTTGAGTTGGAGTCTCACTCTGTTGCCCAGGCTGGAGTGCAGTGGCATGCTTACAGCTATTGCAACCTCGACCTGCTGGGCTCAGGCAATCCAAGTAGCTGCCTCAGCTGGAACTACAGGCATGTACTACAACGCCCAGCTAATTTTTTTGGATTTATTATAAGACAAGGTCTAGCCATGTTGCTCATGCTGGTCTCAAACCTTGGGCTCGCTGGGTTCGGTGGCTCAGCCTGTAATCCTGTGCTTTGGGAGGCTGTGAGTGGACTGCCTGAGCCCACAGGTCGAGACTCACCTGGGCAACTTGGTGAGCCCTCACCTCTACAATAAATCAAAAAAAATTTAGCCAGTTGTGGTAGTGCGCGCCTGTAGTTCCAGCTACTCAGAAGGCTGAGGCGGAAGGATCGCCGG